AACAAATTCAAAAATTAGCTGAAAAAACATTGTCACATTTTAACCTTTTCAGCTTTTACAGAAGCAAATTTACTAATAACTTGGTCAAAGTCTATCTTCGCCACAGTTTCATGTTCAACTGAAACGAGGGACAAATTGGATAAGCGATCTTGTGATATACCCGAAGTGACTTTTAATAACCTTCAATTTTGAGAAGCTTCTCTCTGCAGTAGCAACAGAAATTGTAAGCGTCAAAAACGGCCATAGAGCAATCACAATATTTGGCACGGTTTCTTGAATTTGCCATCGATAAATCCATCTCAACCATTCGATAGCCGATGATTTGAGCATCATGGACATGTCACGTTCCACTTTGGAAGCTGTTGCTAAAACATCCGAAGTCGGAGTACTTAGAAAGGCAACCTTGATACGTCTAAATCAGCACCATATTCACTAACGAGAATTTGAAATTTTCACTCCAACTCACCTTCAGTATCTTCCAGGATTGCTTTCTATGATAATCCAGCGAAGACAGTTTGCAGATGAGATCATAACATTCGTAAAGATTTCTCTTTACTTCCTGTACAAGTGTTTGACATACATCATCTTCCCTTTCCCCAGGTAGCTTTCTCTTTTGTCTAATCCGCTTTTCCATTTCCTCGCTTTTTGCTTTTCTTTGATTAACCGATTCAAACACTAGTTTGTCCCTGTTTCGCTTAAAGAAAATTTTGGTCGCTTCCATGTTGGTTACACACACATCCAAACAAAGGGCAAGTTCTTGAAGTTTCTTTTGGATCAGATTTATTTGTCCCAGAATTTATTCCGAGTAAAACAAATGTGCCATGAAGGAGAAGTTTTCAATTGAAAGCAAAATGATTTGTGTATCCCTTCTCGTTTGAAGATTTTCTGAAGCTGACGTTAATGAATCGAGTGCCTGAGTCACTCCTTGCAATCCGGTTTTTACTGCACGAATAACTTCGTAACGTGCACTACGGGTGGTTACCAAACGCTTCATCATGACCCTTCATCATGCGAAAGATAAAACTTCCCACCGATGAATGGAAGTGGGGAAAAAATGTCTTTCAATTCCTCCGAAAAATGTAATGACATTTGCATTCAGAGCTGAGTCAAGAACACGGCATAAATTCAGAACACGGCACAAATTTTGACTTTCGTATTTATGTTCCGTAGAAGACGTTGGACACCACCATGAACTCTAGCCATGTTAGCCGCATTGTCAAATCCTATCCATCTAAATGAAGTTTCTCTTTTTCTAGTCAAAATCATCTTAATATCATAAACTGTTTTCCCATTGCTCAGTGATAAAACCAAGAAATGATTCCCGCACCTCTAATTCGTTGTCTTCAACAACGACATATCAACAAATGAAACTTATCTGATCCGTATGAGAAATGTCCGGAGTGCTGTCTAGTATGATCGCAAAATAATTGGTTTTTCAAATTCATTCCAATATATTTTCCTTTATGTGTTTTCCCAAGATATGAATGAATTCATTTTGGATTTTTGGTGACAAGTACCGTCGGTTATCATTTACTTATTTCAAGAAATGATTTCCAAGAACAAAATCATACTTGCTCATAAGTTCAACAAATTCTATAAAGTTACCTTTATTGGAACTATATACATCGTCTCGATGACCCCTCAAAGGCAGGTTCTGTTTCGTCAAAAACTTCGCGACATCAATTAAGCGTGTTAAAACATGTCTCCAAATCTGTCTGTCTTTCATAGTTTGTTCTTGTAATTTACTGTCGAGTGTTTTATCTTTATTAAGTACAATTTCCAACATCTTCCATTCATTGAAAGCTCTTTGGTAAGTCAGACGAATTTTTATGTTCAGGCATTTTTGAATTAAGCTTCCAGAACTTATGAAATCCTGGATTTCTTGCTAGACTTGATTTGCGTTGCTCTGTCTTCAGGAAGAGGCGACAGCAGAAACAATAAAGAGATTTTATCGTCTTTGAGTACAGCAATCACGATTTCAAAACAGTCTCTCCATTCTTCATAGTTTTGTAAAACCAGTGTTGTAGCATTATCATCGGGTTATTTCCCTTGGTCCCACAGTCGGAGCAAAGGTTTCATCATGGTTTTGAAACTTTTTAGGTCCCAATATTACAAGATCAATATGCAAGCTCCCTGAGCAAGTTCATGACCAAAATGCAATCTCTTTGTACATAGCAATCTCTGTATTTGCCTGTTCTATTTTCTTATTTCCAGTAACTTCATCAGTTCTTTCTTCATATTCATACCTGTCCTTACCGCATGCACTGGAACTCTCTTCCTTTGGCACATCATCATTATCACTTTCAATTTCTTTAACAATGTTAATTCCTGCAGGAAATTCCTCTTCAACTTTTATTTCTATATTTGTCTCCACCATATTCGCAGTTTCTCCATGTCCCCCCTCCTAGTTCTGATGTACATTCTGTTTTTTGCCGTTTACTCATTCTAATCGATGAAAAAATAGAAACAGAAACAAATAGTAAAAGAACAAACTCAACAGCAGAGGGAAGTTTTATTTATTGTAGTAAGAAACAATTTGATACAAGACTGAAAGAGGGTTTGTAAAAAAAGGCTTGATAATTTTGAACTAACCCAAACTTAGCTAGACACATTCGTGACCCATTCGCATCTTATAATGGCCTAAGTGTTGTTTAAAGATAGAAGTAAATAATTACACCCAATGATTGCTTAAATCTTTTCTTAAATTCAATTTTTAAAATTTACTATCCTTTTTTTTCTAATACATTTTTCTTATCCCTTTTTATTTCATTCTTATATTCAATATAATCATTTAAAATGCAATCCATAGTAATGGTCGTAATAAAAATAACTGAACATTGAATATTTGTATTAAAAAATCATTAAAATTTTATTTTACCTGTGATACTTGGTATAAAATATTGACTTATTCTCCAGACAACTGACAGATAATTAATTTTGATAAAAATAAAATTTAATAAAACCCAAATATTTCTTAAAACCCATGTGCGTTATCATTTACTATCAAAATAATATATAATCCTTATTTGAAATCAATGATTTTGCTCTTAAATCTAATCAGTATCACGCGATATGTAAAAAAAAATACAGTGTAACCCGGATATAAGAGACCCGGATATAAGAGAAACCCGGATATAAGAGAGATTTTCTCTGGTCCCAAATTAGAGCCTGTGTTAATGTAAACAAAATAGACCAAACCCGGATATAAGAGAAACCCGGATATAAGAGACTTCTTCTCCGGTCCCGACAACTCTCTTATATCCGGGTTACACTGTATAGGAAATTTCAATTACTCAAATTATTAATTAAATATATTAATAATAATGTAAATATTTCCAAATTTCATGAACAATAAGAGAAATTCTAATTTAACAAAAACATTTGAAAATATGCGATATTTTATTTTATTTTTTAATTTTCCGCCCAAAAGAACTGAACTCTGATTTGGGAAGGAGCGAAACTTGTTTTCTTTTTTTTTTTTTTTAAAAAAAAAAAAAAGACCAATTTTATTTCTCCATAATTGTAATCTTAAAAATCTTAAGACTTCAAAGAAGACCACTTTTATTTCTGCAATTAACTTTAATCTGAATGAAAAAAAATTAAAAATTTTTTTTTAAAAAAATATATTCAAATCTCGAAAAAATATGCTGTCCTAAATTGGGAAGTTTTAATCATACATTTTTAGATAGATTAAATAAATCTTTATTTAATTATAAATATTTCATCTTAAGCAGAAGATTTCGATGGCTTTCAAAATTTACTGTAAATTTATAAGTGTATAAAATATAAGTAAATTGCATCAAAGGAAATTTGTTTTTGGATCAATCCAAAGAAAAAAATCATTGTTTATAAAAAAAAAAATAAATAAAAAAAAAAAAAAAACACGGTATAAAAATTCTTTTTTCAGTTTTTTAAAAACAAAATTAAAATTTTCAAATAACTTTTTCAGGGTGAACACATCGTAAATTCAATTCTTTTTTTATATGTGGTCTTCTCGTTATTTTAACTTTTCAGAATTGTAAAAATTAGCAATTGCGATGGTTTTTTTTTTTTCAAGTGATAAAAATATATTTTCTCAAGGTTGTTTTTTTTAAATCAAAGAAGCTATTCATTATAAAATTAATTTATTTTATTCATTAGAATAAAATACCAACATTTGCATGAAAATTTCAACATGTTTGCAATTTGTTTTGAAATCATTGAAAAAAAAAAATCATTTCTGACAGTTTATTTTTATTAAAAATAATTTAAAACCAATCCAATAATTCTTTAGGTTGATTATCGTAATACAAAAACATGGGCGAGTCGGGGATCTGCAAATATATATATTGGTTGTAAAAAAATATACAATATAGTGGGAATGTCTCTTGGAATATCCTGGTGTGGTCTTGTAGTCTCAGTAAGAGATCGCTCCCAGCAGGGCCAGATCAAAGTACCGGTATCTCAGACAGTCGTCCGAGCTTATTAAAAGCTGAGGTCGCCAAACAAAAACGAATGAATTTAAAAAAAAAATTTGAATTAAAAAAAAAATGTTAGCTTTATTTTTTGAAACACCATAACAAAAATGAATGATTGCGTATTCAATTTCTTTTCACCCGCAAAATGCAGCCCTCATGAAGTGCCGCCCGGGGCCCGGGGCCCGGGGCCCGATGCCTCCTGGGCCCAACGACCTCCACCGGGCACAAGGACCCCCCCCCACGCGGGCACAAGGACCCCCCACGCGGGCACAAAGACCTTCCTCCCCAACGCGGGCACAAGGACCCCCGCCCCCTTTGGTCTGCCAATAGTTGGTGCGTTAATAACATCCCTTGGTAAAGAGTTTCACCTGTCTATCAACCACAGGGCAATGAAGAACCATTTTCGATTGCGTTGTCACTCGCACAAATTGATGAAACAGTCATCAATTTGTGCGAGTGACAACGCATCCTCCTCTCTGAGAATGTAAAGAAATTGTTCCATTTCATCATAACCATTCGGTATTTCGCATAACCACACACAGATCAGCGAAGTAGGGTCTTGACTGAATGGGGTGGTCGCTTGATTTCGCTTGTGGATCGGCTGAGGCAGCTTTTCTAGACAGATTGCAATAAGTTGATATCTTTTTTTGTAGTTTGGCTCTTATATTCAAATACTGGTTCAATAAATGCAGTGAAAATGTTTTTGTTTTTTTTTAACTTTTTTGAGTAAGATTCTTAAAGCAATGTTTAATCGTATTCTTTAATTAGACTTCCTTAACATTTCAGAAATTTTGATCTTGGCGATAAGTCTCTTGAGACTAGAATACCCTATTCTTTTACTCGTCATCTTTATCTTGTATCCAAGAATTTAAGTTCTTATTTTCTGATCGCTTTCTTTATGATGATGGCATTGATGACTACATTCGCCACCAACGTCCAGGTTCAGGACTAGAAGCTACCAGTTTCTCCAAAACCTGCTCCTGTCATCTATTTCCTATTGCCGTTTAGCTTTGCAAGAGTTGGTTGAAGGTGAAAGAATATCAGAATAGAAGAAAGTTATGATGGCGTGAATTTGTTTAAGGCGGACCTCAACTTACCGAGAAGTGACCGACACACTTGGTTTCATGACCTTCACCTGCGGCGCATATGGAATGAGACATGCAGAATCCAGCTATGAAACTGCAACTGACTACCGCTGATTCAGTTATAATTTCGAGTGGCGCCTTCTGTAGTATGTCCGTTATGCGTAGCCCTCTTCAACCGTTGAGATCTGTTCTAATCATCATCGGCTTGTGCCACTGTTGGGGTCTTTGGGATTGGTCGGGCTTAGCCTGGGTCCTTGTCTTCCACCTTTTCACCGAAGGTTGCCCTATCGGGAGTTTATATCTCACGACGGCATTGCTCTCAGAGCCATTGGACCACGCAAGCCCCTCTACCCTCTGATGGTCACTGCTTGTGTTCTTTTACCTGATTAAGGTAAACTCCATCTAGTGTGTAAGCGTATTTCAACTTGTCTCTGGTCTTCAACACAACACACTTTCCCGCATTGCTTTACGTTTTGTTATTTCGTTTTTATTATCTATTTCACTTCCAACTTCACATACGTCGATATATGAATCAGTTGGGCACCTCGGCGTGGTGTAATGGTTAGCAAGCTTGTCTCGCTAGATCAGTTACTACTGAAAAGTGAGTTCGATCCTTACTGGATGCCCCATGCTTTCGGCTTTGTGCCACATCTAAGCTTCGCTTGGAAAATCTTTATATGAATCAGTTATTAGAAATTTAGAATAGGAAATTGAATATAAAATAAGCTGTGCTAGAAATAGTTTTGTTTAAGAACACAAAATACAAGAAAAAACAAAATATTAAACTAAGAAGTCGAATTGTGGTCTTAAATAACCTCGTCAGATTGAGACTTTCATTTGGATGCCATGAACGGCGTCCATGTCGTTCAACGATATAAAATCATTTTCCTAGATCAAAGATTTCAAATAACTTCAAGCGAATGAATCTAGATATTAAAGACAATCCTTCATCAGATCTTGTAGACTAGCGCGACAAAATAACAAAGAACTTTACCAAAATAACAGAAACCACATCACTCGAAGAGACTTTCAAAATCAACAACAACTAAAATGGATGGAACATTTAATTCGAATATAAAATATTGACATTAATCAAGACGTTGACCTTCCACACAACTTCGAACAAAAGGTTAGAAAGCAAATTCCTCCCTTCAACGATAACAATGGAAAACCCATTCTCCCGAAAAACTGTTTTCAGAAATAGTTTATAAATTTCAAACGACAGTTGAACTGTTCTGTCAATAAAGCGGATGTGCGGGTGGTGTAATGGATAGCGGCTCGGAAGAAGCCAGAGAGTCAAGTTCGAATTATAGTAGAATTCGTTACATTCACTTACATGCAGATATCACTGGGGAAGTTTGGAATTGATTTCTTCTCCCCCTAGATATGGGTTAAATAGAGGGATAGTACATGGAAAAAGCGATGTTATCCCCAAAATTGTGTTTATTCATTCGCCAAAAATATTCTTACAACTCAAAATATGTTTCGACTTTAGATACCCGTCAAATGATTGATAATCAGTAAAAAAAATTCCAACGATCAATGAATGTCAAATGTTCCCTGAGAAAACTCTTCCGAGATAATATATGTAATAATAAATACATCAACAATTAAATTAATATACTTTTTTTTTATTAAATTAGTTGACATAATTAATGGGACGGAAGCGTTTCAGCTTTAAGATAAATATTGATATTTAGTCGGAAATTGATCAGTTTTACTTGTAAGTCACCATGATTTGTTACATTTTAGTCATTCTAGAATCTATCATACATATCTATAATTCTACTATTCGCCCATACTTAAAATACTGACGCCACATATGGTCCGGTACTCCTGCTGTTTACCTTGAGCTCATTGATAAAATCCAAAGAAGAATCATCAATATTATTGGTCCTGATCTAGCAGCTCGGCTTCGGTCTCTTTCCCACTCCCGTAAGGTTGCCTTTCTGTGCCTTTTTTATAAATACTTTCATGTTAATTTTTCGGATGAGCTCTTCGCCATGTTACCTAGACTTCATGAATGTAAGTGCGTCGAGATACAGTTGAAATAGATAGATGCAACCGTAAGTCCTATGCTAACAGTTTCTTTTCTCACACTCCTCGCTCGTGGAACTCCCTTATGGCTCCATGCTTTCCTGCCAACTTTAATCTGCAAAAATTTAAATGCAATCGCTATCTACTGTCATTTTGATTACTCATTTCTCTTCCTGTTCATTATTAATGTCTTTGTTCCTAATTCTTCCACATCCTGCAACCCCTTTTGTCTTAGTGGCTTTACTGTCTTGCTTGGGGCTGAAATCGATAAAAAATACCCCAGGCATTTATCAAGCCTCCCACCAACCTGGATAAGCCCATTGACCACACGGGTGTAGCTATCGACTAATTTGGAGATCTATAAGCTACCGTCATCGGTAAAAAGCACAAATCAAAAAAAAATTACTTAAAATTAATAATGGTTTGCAATGCTGCATTGAATTAAAATCATCAAAATAATAAGGACATAAGCGGCAGTGGCTCTCCACATGTTCTTTTTTTTCCCCTTTTTAATCAGCGAATTGATATTTCTTCTTTGAAATGATGAATTAAGGTAAAAATGGCAACGGAAAAAATGGCCAAAGTGGATAAAGAGTTAAAAATGGCAACGGTAAAAATGGCAACGATAAAAATAGCAAAAATGGATAAATAAGAAAAAATGGCAAAAGGAAAAAATATATAGATGAATATCTCACAATGAGTTTATTAAAATCTTGGATACAATACATAATGGAAAAACATGAGAAGTTTGTCAAATTAAAAAAAATATTCAACTAAAGCTCCCCCCCCCATGAGATTTTACTTTTTAGGCGATTACGTCTGAACGCACTGAAAAACTTGGGAAAAAACAATTATAGGTCCACTTGATGAGGGCTTCCGGTATTGAAATCAGAAACCGAAAATAAGCGGTGTTTATCGGAAAACAGTTCCTCGTCAGTTTTGTACACTTAGAGTTGGGTTTTTTAATTTCACTAGTTTGAAAACGTGGGAATGAGTAATGCAGTCGAATAAAAAAAACAATATATTGGATACATTATTATTATGACGTTTAATATCTTTAAATTTTGTTACATTTCTATTTATAAAAAAAACTATTAGACTATTTAAAAAATAGAATAAAGTATTTAAAATGTTTTCAGTATAAACTATTTAAAAAGTATTTTCACACAAAAAGAAAACATTCCAATTATTAAAAAAAAGTTTCGTTTGATTATTTGTAAGAAAAAACATTCCAATTATAAAAAAAAAGTTTCATTTGATTATTTGTAAGAAAAAACATTCCAATTAAAAAAAAAAAACGTTTTATTTGAATGGGATTCCTAACCTTCACCTTTGCGATTTTTCCGATTCCCCGATTCCGATTAATCGTCCCAACACTAATATGTTTAACGTTCTTTTTTATAGATACAAGTATTTAAGTAAATGCTCTGTTTATAATAAACAGTATTTAATAACATTTACCGGCCTGAATGTCCGAGAAATTTTCATAGAAAATATTCGTCCTTTGACAGGATTCGAACCTGCATCCTATACGGAACCGTCATTTACGCTGACGTGCCTTACCGATCGGAAACAAAGGAGCGTTCGGTAGACAGTTTATAAGCAGTAAAAAATTCGCCCTTGTCTACCGAACTCTCCTTTGCCGATCGGTCAAGGCACGTCAGCGTAAATGACGGTTCCGTATAGGATGCAGGTCAAAGAACGAATATTTTCTCTCATGAAAATTTCGGACATTCAGGCCGGTAAATGTTATTTAATACTGTTTATTATAAACAGAGCATTTACTTAAATACTTGTATCTATAAAAAGAACGTTAAACATAAAATGTCTTTAATAAATAAATTGTCGGACTTTGTCCATTTCTTAATATATATATATATATATATATATATATATATATATATATATATATATATATATATATATATATATATATATACATCTAATCCTAATGTCAGCTATCAATTATAAAATTAATTATAGTCATCAAATTCACTTAAACACGCTACGGTTTGTGTTTTTACTGCAATTAGGGGTAGGAACCAAGCGTCCCCCCAATAAAACTTCCAAAACTTGACAATGAAAATTAAAAAAAATGTTTTTAATACTGGGAGCGGGAACTTAGCCCCTATTTAAAACAAGAGGAGAAGGAGCTTAGCTCCCCCACCCACCCACTAGAGTAAATATCTATTTAAAAATATTTATTTTTAAATATTGGGGGGACTTAGCCCTATTTTAAACTAGAGGGATGGGAGCTTAGACCCATCCTTCTCGAACGGTCATAATTTTCTGTTGTCGAATTGTCATTTTTTCCTATTTATTCACTTTTGCCATTTTTACCGTTGCCATTTTTACCCTGCCATTTTTACCGAGCACCTGAAAAAATAGTTGGTGGGCAGAAGCGATAGATTTATGCTCTCTCCCAAAGAGACTAGTGCGGAAGTGAATACAAGGCCTGGATTTGAACCCGACTCGCTGATTCCAATTTCGGCGCCGATAAGTGTAACACTACCCACCCCACAATACTACTACTACTACTACTACTACTACTACTAAAACAGTACGTATACTCTCCAGTAGCTAATGCTTTAAAATTTTACATAATAAACGAAACTCTTTTTTTTTTTCCGACTCAGGAGTAAATGACGACTGATTTGAGAATGTGACCGAGAAACAAATTTTCAGGGCTCTTTCACATTATTTCATCTGATCATTGTTTCAATTGCTGGCTTTCTTCTGGCTGATCTGACATCATAATATATATGAAGAGGAGACATGAAACGAGTGTAACGCTTATCGGCGTTATGAATGGAATCGGTGAGGCGAGTTCGAATCTCAGTTGATTCTGTTTTGTTCATTTATCACTAAAAACATGAATCCATTTAGCCCCGGTGATAAGTAGCAAGGTAGAAACGGTTTTTTTGCCTTGAATGGCAGCCAGTCTAGGAAAAGGAAAATTCAAGCCTGGGGAGGAGACTTCGTGGCACACTGTTGACCATTTTTCTTTGTTATCAGTTCCTTCGAAAAATGAGGTTAAGTTATCCACAAGCCTTCCACACTCTAATCAATTCATCTTCAATGTGGATGTTCAAGTGTTCAAGTGTTCAAGTGTTCAAATGTTCAAGTGTTTCTGTTCTAAACTGAACCTGTTGAATCATCGTCCGTTGGAATTGATGGGAGCGTCTATCCAGATGTTCTTTTTTTTACAGTGAGGTTAACTCTGTATAAGGCCCAAGGAGCCCTCGAGGAAGAAGATTACAGAGTAAGAGTCACTGTTTATGCGGATAGGTGGGAAGGATAACGGTTAACTGTAGAATTGAACATGGTAGGGATCTGGGTAACATCCTCTTGGGTGTCGGTTCCACAGAGCAGTTGTTCGCTGGAAGAAGCTGATAGTATTACACTATCATTATGGAACTGAACTAGACCTACTCTGTAAAAGCAATTCTTCAATATTTACATACGGACCATTGCCCCCGTCTTTATTGTTGTCACAAAGTTTCGGCCGTTGTTGTCTCCGTTTTAATTAGGTACCCTACACGGAATGCAGAACTGAACCCTTTATTTAATCAACGAGGGTAGACTGTTCTCGTTTGAACGTCCATGTCTCTTGTCTATTTTAATATTGTTCTGGTATTTCTCTTCCTTTTCCTACTGAGTCCATGTACGCACGGCCCAGCCCAGCCCGGCCCAGCCCAGCTCAAAACAGCCCAGCCCAGGGATTGAAATCATAAATACTATGTCGCTAAATTCCCTAACCAGCGCTTGGATCCAATAGGCTATTGCCCCGTGAGGCATTGACAGTGGAACGATAACAGTCTACACTTGTAAATTAAATATATAGTTCAATTCTGAAATCCATGTAGGTTATCAGGATCGAAATTCACCTGATGAAGGCTGAAGAGCAGAACGGCTGAAATTTTGTGATAATAACAACAGAGATGGCGACAACAGCCTGCATGTAAATAGGGTATGAATAATGAAAACTCCTCATCCCAGAAATTAGGACAAAAATCAGTTGTTCGATGTACTGTCAATTTCTTAGACATCATAAAACTTTTTAAGACCACCATAAGAGGTTAAGATGGTCGGGTCAATCGGAATAATGAAATGATGAAAGAAAGAAATAAAGAAAAGCGTCATATAGTCGAATGAATGGAACAAGATAAGAAATTATATATATATATATATATATATATATATATATATATATATATATAGAGAGAGAGAGAGAGAGAGAGAGAGAGAGCGAGAAAGAGGAGAGGGGGAGAGAGAGAAGGAGAGAGAAACAAACAAAGGATGAACGGGAGAATGTAAGCGCGTCATAAAAGAAAAGGAAAAAGAATAGGTACATATCAAAGAAAGAAAGAAAGAAAGAAAGAAAGAAAGAAAGAAAAGTAAAGAAAAGTAAAGAAAGAAAGAAAGAAAAGTAAAGAAAAGTAAAGAAAGAAAGAAAAGTAAAGAAATCAAGATATTAACGAAAGAACAAAATAAGACGACTGAAGAAGAGAAATAAAGAAAGAAAAAAAGAACAAATGAAAGAAAGAGTAGCATTGACAAAAGAAGAAATGAGCTGATTGAAGGAGGGGGTGTATAGAAAGAGCGTCATCTGGTTGAATAAAAGAAAGAAGAAAAGTTATTGCATATAGACGAAAAAGATTTAAATAAATAAGAAGACCCTATCAGAGAAAGGAAGGAAGGAAGAAAGAAGGAAAAGAGAAAGAAAGAAAAAAAGTAAGAAAGAATGAATGAAAACAAGGAAAAGAAAGTGTAGTATAGGTAAAAGAGAAAAATAACGAATGTTAATCTGTTCTAAAGAATGGTGGAAAGGATATGAAGGAAATGAAAGAAGGTAGGAGGATAGGTAGGAGAAAGAAAGAAAAAAGAAATATATATATATATATATATATATATATATATATATATATATATATACAGTGTAACCCGGATATAAGAGACCAGGATATAAGAAAACCCGGATATAAGAGAAACCCGGATATAAGAGAGATTTTCTCTGGTCCCAAATTAGAGCCTGTGTCAAATGTATATAAAATAGACCAAACCCGGATATAAGAGAAACCCGGATATAAGAGACTTCTTCTCCGGTCCCGACAACTCTCTTATATCCGGGTTACACTGTAAATATAAAAGAAAGAAAGAAAGATAAGGGTGGAATATGAGAAAAAGAAAGAAAGAAAGAATGAATATAGGGGAAAATAAGTAAATAAATAAAGAATATACGTGAAAAAAAGAAAGAAGGAAAGAATAGAGGGAAAAGAAAGAACGAACGAATATGAGGGAAATAAAATAAATAAATAATATAAGAGAAAGAAAGGAAGGAAGTAACTAAAAATATAGGTGAAAGAAAGAAAGAAACAAACAAACAAATGGAAAGAAGAAAAAGAAAAGAAAGAAAAAAGGGAAGAAGATAGGACAAAGAAAGAAAAAAGAGAGAACTTACAGAAATGCCTTGGAATATTTATAGTAAAAATCCTTTTTGATAAAATTAAAAAATAAACGATACAGCGAAAACACACTTGTTTCTGATCTAAGCCCTTTTACTGCAATTAGTTTTATAATCGTCAAATACAGAATAAATCATTCCTCTCAATGGAGAAATTAACAGAATGTTGTAGCAGAGTCGCGCCCAGAAACGCGCTGTACGTTTGTTTTGATAACATTTTTGGAAATATTTGAAAAAAAAAAAAATCAATATTCTGAGAATCATATGGCTCCAATGAAGAAATTCATCGATTAATTGCAATTAATTGGAATCTCTTTCTGTACCACTAAGAAGTTTGAACCGGAATCGGTTATTTAAAGGATGAACATCTTTATCAGAGGAGCAAGGACATCTACCCCATGCATGTGTAAATGAAATGTAAGCAAAGGAGAAGAAATAAAAAGATATGTGTGTGTAGGAAAAAAAAAAAAAAATTTGCGAGCAAAAATTAAAATAATATCCAACCAAGGGAGATCCCTTTTGGGGGAAAGCTTTCATCTCTTTTTGCATCAAAAAGTTTCAGAAGATTCTTTGAAAAAAAAAATAAATAGTAATTAGATCCTTTGATAAAGCAAAAAACTGGTTAGAAGGGCGAAATAAGGAAGTGATGGCGTAATAGAAAAATAAGGGAGTCGTGAAAGAGAGAAAGAGTGAAAGAAAGGCAGAAAGAAAGAAAGGGTGAAAGAAAGGCAGAAAGAAAGAAAGAAAGGGTGAAAGAAAGGGTGAAAGAAAGGCAGAAAGAAAAACAAAAAGAAAGAAAGGCAGAAAGAAAGATAGAAAGAAAGGGTGAAAGAAAGGCAGAAAGAAAAAGAAAAAGAAATAGCGAGTAGCTGGCGAAAACGAAAAGGAAAAAAGAACATCTAGAAAAAGAAAGACAGAAACAAAGAAAATATAAAAAGAAAAATAAGAATAGTCATATCAGAAAAAGAGAAAAATATATATTTACGAAAAAAAAAAAGAAAGAAAATATGGTTGAGAAAAGAGAAATGATGCATGTGTTGAAAGAAAGAAACTTCTAGAAAGACAGAACATCTAGAAAGAAAACTTCTAGAAAGAAAGAAGAAAAAAGAATGAAAGTGAATGGAGTGAAAGAAAGAAATAGAAAGAAAAAAGAAGTAAATAGATTTAAAGAAAGAAAGAAAGAAAATGAATCCTAAGATGCTGAAAAATTAAGACCAAAAAGGAAGGAAGAAAAGAAAAGAAAAGAAGAAAAATATGCTCCATTTTTTTTGTTATTGCTCCCCCGCCCCAGCGGTTTCGTATTTGAAGCAGAGGGAGAAAGTCCAACATTTAGGCAAGCAGGACTTCTGCTGTTCTGTGACGGCATGTCGCAGACTTACCGCCAAAATCTATTTGTAAAAACAAATATAAATCAAATCAAAATTAATAAAAGAAAAAAAAAAAAAAAAAAAATTCAAAACTCCAATTCGTCATTTGATGTGACGGCGTCAACACCGTCACCTCGTCAGCACGACAAATTCACTGTTGACTTTCATCTTTTGACTCCATACTGTTATTTGCTTGTCCATCCGCAATGGCGGCGGTGGCGGCGACATAGAGGTGGGGTGAGAGGTTGGAGGGGGGAGTTGTTTTGAGTTTTTTTTTTTTTTTTAACTCGACACCGACACCCTTAGTTTTCTTTCTGCAGATGGATATACAACTGGTATGTTTTTTTTTTCTTTTCCTTTGACAAAGCTTTCAGGGGTTTGTTTTCAAGGAAACACTCTTTTAAATCTACCTCTCTTTTCCTCTCTCATTCTCTCTCCCCCTATCTCTCTTTCTTCATCTCACTTGCACGCGCGTGCGCACACACACACACACACACACACACACACACACATACAGTGACACATTATGTTAAAACAGTAATATAAATATTTGAATACGGTATTAAAAGTCGAGAAGAAATATTTTTTCCTGGTCTTTTTGCCATATTTTTATTTCTTAGACATGTTGTTAAAATATCATGCCTATTTACATAAAGCACTTTCTTGTTCCAAATTGTCACATTCAGATATAACTTTTTCTTTCATTCTTTCACCCTTAACGACGCTCAAGACATCAAACACAACCTCAGTACTTATGGGTTATTTGTCGCCATTTTTTAAATTAATTTTCCAACTTTTTAACAAATACAGATGTGTAAAAATATACTATTTGTTTCTTAAATTATATCTATTTATTTCTCCAAATAACAAACATTTACTGTATTATCCGGGTGGCATGACCGTGTTGATAGCCTGCAGTATGGCATCAAATGGGTCGACTCGATAAGGTAGTTGTTGCCTTCTGCGTATGAACTCGGCCAAATAGGTCTCAAGATGGTGTCGTACCGTTCCTCAGTGACGCTTGATCATCTACTTTACGGATCCATACAAACGTTCGATATTCTGAGAATGGATTCCAGTATTCGAAAAAACGAAATTATATCGATGGACTTTACCTTGAAAAGTTGGAAGCCATCCTCCTTCAGCTCGGTGGTCCTTAGGTCCTCACATCTAAAAAAGCGGCCACAGACAACCACCCACAGGTACCCACATCTCATTTTTAGTTCTCTTGTCTGCCTTCTGTTGTTATTTACTAAGTTACACTAAGTTTGGCACAAGAATACAAGTATGGTGAAGATCGAACTCACAACTCTTTGACCAAATAGACGAGAAAGTAACCCTTACACGGAGCAGGTCTCTCTTGCACACTGTCAATTCATTTACCTTTTACGAACTCTCACACAAAATCAATCTATCTATCTATGAAGAATAATTGAATGTTAAAAGAGAGAAAAATCCTAAATATGATACCAATCCTCTTATATGGCAATGGATGCTGAACAATTTAACTACAGATGAAGACGAAACTGGAGCGAGAGAAACGTGTTTCTACAGAAGGATACTGAGAATTCCATGGACGGAGTGTGTAAGCAAGGAGGATGTCTTAAAGAAAATAGCAATAAAAAGAACCCTTAATAAAAGAAACAAAGCAAAAAGAAACAGCTCAATAGAAGAGAAAATGAAGAAAGGGTGCTTGGAAAACCTAACCCTCACAAGACATACCGAAGCCAAGAGAAAAGACAACGGACTATTTACCTGACGAGCTTGTGTTAACGGATGGCGGGACGGGGATAGATAGGAGGTTGTGGTGAGCCATGATCGCCCACGTCCTGAAGAGACGGTATATAGAAGAAGAACCCGTTTCTTTTTAATAATAGTTATACCGATGAAGTCAGTCTTATATAGAAAATATGCAAACGCTGCTCAAGATAAACCAACGTTAGATCCGACGTGCTTTTACCGACTCAGCTATATAGTGAGTCGCCGATCAAATAATTTTTCCCGCCAATGGGGTCGCAGGTTCGAATCCTGCCGAAGAGCGCATATTATTCTTTGATAAAATTTCTCGAACATTCAGGCCGATAGACGAAAGTAAATAAATGGAGCGTCTACTCAAATATGGGTATCCACTAAAAATAACGTTTGAGTAATAATGTGGGATTGACAAATAAAAATCTATTATTACCTATATATTTATATATATATATATATATATATATATATATATATATATATATAGATAGATAGATAAACACCTCACATACACACACACACACTCAAAAAGAACAGAAGATAACATACACTTAACTCACACATCAAACTGTCAAAATAACCAAGGAGGAAATTCTTAAAGTCAGGAATCTCCAATCCTCTATCTTAAAAACAATCTCAAAGAGGCCGTTTGAACAACACAAGGACTCACCAAAATTAACGCTAAAAAACAAATGAAAACTACAAATAAAGTTCACTTTCTTCAGAAACAGTCATTCTCAGCGGTAGTTCACTGCTACTAACAAGCAGGAATTTTTTCTTCTGATGATGACCATGCTGGCCGAAACTAACTGAAATAATAAAACAGAAAAATATAAACCCAAATGTGTATAAAATTTTAATATTTTTTTTATTTTTCAAAGCATATATATATATATATATATATATATATATATATATATATGTCCAAATATATATATATATATATATATATATATATATATATATATATATATATATATATATATATATATACTACTGTCCCCGGTAATTAAATAGTAGAAGATTTGTATTTTAAATAAGAGAAAAATTATTATATATGGTTAAAAAAAAGAAGATATGATATTTTATTAGAAATTTTATTATGGCAAAAAAAAAAAAGCGTTTCATCATTAAATTTTGCTCTCGTCAAAATATCCTCTTTTAGCTTTCATTACTGCAGCCCAGATTTATGGCCTCCGTTGCAATAATTTCTCAAAGTACTAGTTTGATAATTGATTCCATTCTTTTTTAATTATCTCTGAGAGCTCTTTTTCATTTTTTTTTTTTTTTTTGCCATTCTTCTGTCAAGTTAATCCCATGCTAATTCTGGGGTGGAGGTGACGTCAAACTTTTGAAATGTAGTATATATATATATCTACAAGTGGGCGTTGAAGTCACAACCAAGCGGCGAGAGTCTGTTTCACGCTCAAACACAATCGTTAGGCTTGATTGCGTTTCGGCGTGAAATACAATGTCGCTGTTGGCTGTTAAATTCAACATCCATTTGTATATTTACACACTCTCTCTCCTTGATATTTATCAGTTTAACCCATAGATATAGCATACATTAAAATTATATTTTTATCATATATATATATATATATATATATATATATATATATATATATATATATATATATATATATTAAAAAAGTTCACCCAAAACGAGGCGGGAAGCCACTAGTACACAAAAGGGTTACAGAGAGTTGGAGCTAAAGCTAATAGGAGTGATAGAGGAAAGGATGAAGAGAAGGATAGGGGATAGATCAGGGCATCTGGAGACGTCGATTGACATTACATTTGAATAGTTGAAGATTATAGCTATCAGGGAAACAGGAAAAAGGGGAGGGAGTTCCACAGGTAAGAAGTGCGAGACATGAAGCTATTGGAGTAGAAGAGATGGCTATATTTAACAGTTTCGACAGTGAAAGGGTGAGAGCAAGATGGCAGCATAGTAGAACGCTTAAATTTATGAAGTCTGAGAACCAGCGAAAGCAGCTCATTGGAGTAGTTACCATGAAAGTATTTGTAAAAAAGACAGAGGGAGACGATGGCACGTCTGTGAGAGCGACTGCAGACGAGATGCCAGTTCAGGGATTTTATCAAGAACCTTGAGACAAACAGAAGGGGTTCCAGACCATATGGCAGCAATACTCCATGCAAGTGTATATATATATATATATATATATATATATATATATATATATATATATATATATATATATATATATATATATGAGTGTGTGCAATAAAACTAATAAAACACTCAGAAGCCTGCAGAAAACTTGCTGGCGGAAACAATGGTAGCATTTGTCGTCAGTATTTCTTAACTTTAATATATATATATATATATATATATATATGATGCGCACGCGTGTGTATGTGTGTGTGCGTGTGTGTATGAAAGAGATAGTGGTTCTATTGATAAAACTATTATTAATCTGAAATTCCTTATAGGCACGTAACGCATTACATTTTTTCTTTTCATTTCGCCATTCAGTTACCTAATATTCCTCTGCTATACAGATTTTTTACATAAGTTCCTCCAAACATTCACGCAAAAAGAGGGTACATGATACAAAGAAATGCGTAAAACTTAATAAAAAACAAAATGTTACCATCAAAATATTTATGCTATTATTAAGATGAAAGATCAAAGGTCTTTTTAAAATCAAAAAGATATTTATTTTTTTTATCATTTTAGAACCTTGAAAACGTTGCTTGAATTCTTGTTTTCCAGTCTCAACGCGTGACGAGACATTTTGTACGGGAAATCTGAGCGGTTTTTTTTTGTGTTAAAAAAACCCATTGATTTGGAAATCCTGTAAAAATCAAATAAATATCGGATTTTAATGAAACTTCCAGGAATTATTTACAATTGAATGAAATTATTTTTTAACCGTTTATTTTTTCAGAAAATATTGGTAAAAATGATTATTTTTATTTACATTATTTACATTGTTCGGATTGTTGTCCTCATCTTTGTTGTCATATTCAAGGACACATGGCCCAGTGGATAAAAGCTTTGGTTGAAGTAATCTAGTGAGTTGCGTGTTCAATACATGGCCACAGAAGAGGTGAATAATAACTTGGAAAGTTGAGTTAAAGGGAGATAACTGATACTGAGACACCCGGAAGAGGCACAGCACGTGGAACTAGAACAATCTACCTCGGTGGACGAAATAAATGGTTCGGCTCGAAATTCCATTCACCTGAAGAAGGCTGGAGTGTACAAGTCGTGAATATG